CTTCTCACTTGGTGCCTAGTATTTTCTTTCGATAGTTGATATCTTGGCTGTATTCAGTCATTTCTTTGACCTTTACCAGTTCATTTTGCATTTCCCAGTATCCGCAATGCATTTTGTGTACTTCAGTATCAGTTTTAAGATGATGTCCTATTTTTGTTTTGTCATATAGCAGGTGTCCTGCTATGTGCATTTCCTTGAAATTGTATAGACGGCTTGTAAGACCTATAAGGTCATAAACTTAGAAATCACCTTACAAGAGCCAGACTACATTGTATTTGCAAAGTGTAGCTACAACAGAGAGGTAAAAGTAAAGTCTGAGCCCAAAACTAAGGGGCATCCCAATCTTATATCAGGCTGGAATGCTACCCAATAACAAATACAGAAGTGAGCACAAAGAGGACGTGTTTTCAATTGACAAGAGCACCAAGTTACAAAAAAGGAAGGTGTCTACAGTAAATGGGTGCTGAGTTGCACGTCTTACACCTGTCCCTGCAAGTTGAAGTTGCTGGGCTGACGAAGACAAAAACAAGACTAGAACGCGCTCATGTGGAGACAAGGAACGCTCAGTAACTCTATGGCTTTGTCATCCTTGTACTCAATGAGCTCTAGATTACCATCCAATACTTAACCAGCAATTGAGGAAGAGAATATGGGAGGACCCAGAGACAATAAAGTCTTCAGATCTATTCTTGTCACTCAGGCGTGGATGTCGTCCACAGCTTGCACTTGGCTTAAAGAAAATGCAGTGGTTAGAGTACCAAAGAATTCTTTTATAGTGGACAGTGACATCTTGGAGCCTACTGGGAACACAGTAGTCTCTGAGATAGCTCTGATTCTCGACACAACATAAGTGCTGCACTGAGTGGAGATGACCAAGTCAAGCCATTGCATTGTCAACTTGGTTAATGTGGACTGATGTCAACACACTACGAGGAATACTTCATAGATCTAACTTAAAGGTGACACTGACAGTGGTCTGGCAACGATTGCGTTAACTTGTTCAGCTAGCCCAAATAACCAAGAAGTTTATTAGTAAGTATACTACAATACAAGTAAAGGCTTACCTAGCCCAAATAACCAAGAGGTTGAGATGGGGCTAAGTAGCAACAAAAGGGCCCTATATACTGTTCAGATCTCGCGCAAACCAGGCATTACCTAAGCAATTGTAGCTACGGCGTTTGCTAGTATCTAGGGAACTCGGCAAGAAACAGGGGCCAGTGTATCATAGCATATGACGTTGTCGGGCTAACAGGAATTGGATGTCCATTGCTGATCAGACTCGAAGATAGAAGGTCTGGTGGAAATTGGAGCACGGCTGTTACCAAAGAAGCATGATGCAGAGATGAGACAGCTGCAATGCAAGTGCGTTTGATGTGCTGATGCGTGCCCATTGGTGATGCAGTCCTGAGGTGTTAGTGCACGGCTAAGACTTGTATACTGGCGCCAGAGTGCCGACTTTTGGAGGGTCATACAAACATGGAATAAATTGTAGAAAATTGGAAAAAATGGAAAAATAATAGAAGGCCAGGGCCACGCCCACAACATTACCTCCCCCTACAATCAAGACTCCTGATGAGAAGACATAGCCTGTATTCTGCCCGATTCCCACTCAAATTCAGTCGCTTTGGAATTGGTGGCTAGTGTTGAGCTGAAATCAGTGTGTTTGTAAATAGGCTTAAAGTAACTGTGGAGTTTGCTGAAGAAGGTGGTAAAGATCTGTCATGATGCCGAGGGGTTCTGTTGGTGGAAGTCACATACATGTTCTTTCGCATGGACGTCTTTGGCAGGAATCCATTTGTTGGCACCTTGTCTGTATTCTTTCCATTTGATGAGATATTGGAGCTGTCTGCGATAGATGCATGAGTCCAGAATCTTTTCAACTTTGTATTCTTCCTCATTGTTAACTATGACTGGCAGGAGAGGTATGACTTTGCTCATTCCATTGTCGTGATATGAGCTGAGCCTATCAATATAGAAGATGGGATGAACCTTGAGCCAGTTTGGTAGTTCAAGGTGATAGTCCAGTTTACCAACAACTTCAGTCACAGTGAATGGTCCAAGCTGTCAGAGTCCGAGTTTACAAGTTTGCTGATGAATCGAGATATCTTTTAAAGATAGCCAGACTTTGTCTTCAACTTTGAAAGAGTGAGGTGAGTTTTTATGAGTTTTGTAGTCAGCCTTCATCTTTTCTTTAGTTTGGCTGAGAGCTGCTTCTGCTTCTTTTTGGATTTGGGCCATGCAATTGAGTCTATCATTCAGTGCTGGGATATTGGAGTGTTTTCTGGCTGGAACAGTGAAATTAGGCCTGTATCCGTAGAGGACTTCAAAAGGAGAGTGTTTGTTACCAGTATGTACTTGTAAGTTGAGTACAAACTTGGCCATAGATAGCCATTCATTCCAGTTGTCTTGGCGTTGTGAACAGAATAGCCAGAGAAATTTAGATATCTTGGCGTTCTTTCTTTTGACTTTACCATTGCCTTCTAGGTGGTAGGCTGTAGTTAAATCTGACTCAATACTGAGTCATTTGTATAAACTTTGCATAAAGTGGGCTGCATATTGTGGTCCTCGATCTGAGAAGATTTTGCGTGGAAGACCATGGTGTCTGAACACTTTGTGGAACTGTATCTCGGATGCCCCCTCAGCTGTGAGGGTTGTTCAACAAGGTGAAAGGTGTACTTAATCGCTGTAGTGGTCGATGTAGACAGTGATGGCATCATATTTCCCAGGAGACTTAGTCTGAGGAAGAAGGCCAGCCATATCAACTCTGACGTGTTGCCAAGGCCTATTGAGAACTTTTTGTGGTGTGAGAGTTGCTTTAAAATGTTTGGCACCTTTGTATCTCTGACATTTATTGCAGCCAGCCACGTATCGTGCTATGGCGGAGTTCATACCTGGCCACCAGTAGTAGCGGGATACTAGTTCAATAGTCCCATATTTTTCTGGGTGTCCAGCAGTAGGGGTGTCATGACAGGACTCAATAATTCTGTTACGGAGGGCAGCATTGTTGGATATATAAAGTCTGCCTTTGTAGTAGATGAGTCTGTTATTTTCTTCCCATTCGGTGAGCCCACTGACTAGCTTGCAAGGTCCTTTTACCCAAAGACTGGAGAGTGCTGTAGAGACTTCATTGTCTAGTGAGGTGACATTGTGAACTTCTTGTTCCAGCAGAGAGCTTGTGATGAATGCTATAGTGGCTAATCATGCAAAGTGTTCCGGGCCAAGGCCTTGCTCGGTGGCATTCCCAAATCTATCATTAGGTAGCACAACCTGCATCTGATTGTCTATATCATCAGAGATATACTGAGAGCTAGGGCGAGAGAGTGGGTCTGTGATGAGATGTGTTTTGCCAGATTTATGAATAAGCACGAAGCCGTAGTTGGCAAGTTCAAGAGCCTATCAGATCAGACCTGTCGACATGTGAGCCGTTGTGCTGTATGCCAATACTAGAGGTTTGCATGGTCAGTACAGATTTTGAATGGCTTGGGCAATTGTTCGAGGAAGTGACGCCAGTCTCGGAGCACTTCGATCATCTGAAAAAGCTCACAATGTTAATTACTACTAAATAGTACTAATTAACACTAATTAATATAGTAACATTAATTAACTGACTCTCTCTATTATGCTTACGTTTCTAATAGTAAATTAACGCTAATGTAGTAATTCATTCATGAACTGTTCATGAGCTGTTCATTAGCTATTCATTTGATATTCATCAATTGTTATTTGATGTTAATGAGCTGTTATCTTTTGTTAATAGGCTGTT